ATGTTGCCTGGGCTGGTCTCAAACGATCCTCCCGACTATCAGCCTTCTTGCTGGTAGATCCAGTGGCTATTTCCTGGCCCTTCTTATGTGACTTTTGGCCTCATCTCCCCTTTCTGTCCACTTTCTTCAGCTCCCTGCTATCTCACATACCTGCTTCTTTTCCTCTGTCACTCTTCATGCATTGTCCTGGCCATGGGATCTTTCTTTCTTTTTTTTCTTTTTTGAGATGGAGTCTCGCTCTTGTCACCCAGGCTGGAGGCTGGAGTACAATGGCATGATCTCTGCTCATTGCAACCTCCGCTTCCTGGGTTCCAAGCAATTCTCCCTCCCTAAGCTTCCTGAGTAGCTGGGATTACAGGCATGCCCCCACGCCCGGCTAATTTTTGTGTTCTTAGTAGATATGGGGTTTCACCATGTTGGCCAGGCTGGTCTTGAACTCCTGACATCAGGTGATACTCCTGCCTCGGCCTCCCAAAGTGCTGGGATTATAGGCGTGAGCCACTGTGCCCGGCCTGGAGGCCGAGGGATCTTTTTTTTTTTTTGAGACGGAGTCTCGCTCTGTCACCCAGGCTGGAGTGCAGTAGTGCAATCTCAGCTCACTGCAAGCTCCACCTCCCAGGTTCACGCCATTCTCCTGCATCAGCCTCCCGAGTAGCTAGGACTACAGTTGCCCACCACCACACCCGGCTAATTTTTTGTATTTTTAGTAGAGACGGGGTTTCACAATGTTAGCCAGGATGGTCTCGAACTCCTGACCCTCATGATCCGCCCACCTCGGCCTCCCAAAGTGCTAGGATTATAGGCATGAGCCACCGCGCCCGGTAAGGCCAAGGGATCTTTCTAAAGCCAAATCTGACCCTGTCCCTCCCTCTGCCTAGAACCTGCAATGGCTCCCCAATGTCCCTGGTAGAGTCTGAGCACCCCCAAATTTTGCACCCACAATCCTGCATGACCTAATCATGTCCACTGCTCCTAACTTCTCTTACTTAGCTCAAATCTCAGACAGATCCAAGTTCAAATTCCGGCTTTGCAACTTCCTAGCTGGGTGACTATGAGCAAGAGATTTTGCCTCCTTGAACCCTAAGTTCTTCCTCCATAAAATAAGGACAGTAATTCCTACTTCTCAGCCATGTCTTCAGCATTCAGTACACTAACACTCAGAAGGCCACATGCAATGGCTCATGCCTATAATACCAAGGCTTTGGGAGGCAGAGGTGGGAGGACTGCTGGAGCTCAGGAGTTCAAGACAAGCCTGGGAAACATAGCAAGACCCTGTCTCTACAAAAAATTTTAAAAAATTAGCCAGGCATGGCGGTGTGTGCCTGTACTCCCAGGTATTCGGTAAGCTGAGGCAGGAGGCCTGCTGGAGCCTAGGAGTTGAGGCTGCAGTGAGCTGTGATGGTGCCACTGCACTCCAGCCTGGGCAACAAGAGCAAGACTCAATCAAAAAGGAAAAAAAAAAGAAAGAAGAGAAGAAGAGAGGAGGAGGGTAGGGAAGGGGGAGCGGAGGGAGAAGGGGATGGGGAAGCGGAGGGAGCGGAGGGGGAGGGAGCGGAGGGGGAGCGAGGGGAGGGGAGCGGAGGAGAGGGGAGGGGAGGAGAAAGGAAGAGGAAGGCAGGGAGGCAGAAAGAAAAGAAAAGACAACACAAGAGAAAAGAAAAGAGAAAAGAAAGAAAAGAAAGCAAGCTAAAAGTACCAGAAGCCCCATCTTCTTTCCCCTTCTAGGCCTTTGCACAGGCTGTTCCCTCCGCCTGCAACAGTATTCCCTACCTGCTCACTAAGTTCTCTCCTCATCCCTCAGGTCCCAATGTTCCCTCTCCAGTGAGCCCTCCCTGACCCCTTGGGCTGCATCAAGTGCCTCCTGGATTGGATTTGCCCTCTAGGCTTCCCCAAGCACAATCTGAGCACACTCTGCTCACTCTTTCCCTCACCAGAGCCCCAGACCCTCAGCCTGTGCTGCCCCCATCACAATCCATCACTCTGCCCTGAGCTTCCCCTCTCAGCCATCACCAGTCTGAACTGTCACTGTCTGGGGATTCGTCTCTCCTCCACTAGACTGTGCGCTCCATGAGGGCAGAAACTGGGGCTGATTCTGTCACCCCTGTGCCCCTAGCATCGCCCACCTCAAAGTCAGGCTTAGAGGAGACTTTGGCCCATAGAGGTCATAGGAATCCCCACCCAGGAAGACAGCTGGGGCGTCACTCACGGAACATGGCGTCCAGCCTGACCAAGCAGCTGATGAAGTTGTCAAAATCCATGTTCCCACTTTCATCTGAGTAGCGTCGGATGATCATATTATAGAGATGCTCATTCAGGTGGAACCCTGAGATGGATTTAGTCCTTCAGGTGTAGGGGCCACATGGCCCAACCCACTCCCATGCCCAGGAGTCAGGCCCAGACCAGCTGAGTAAAGGTTTTCTCACCCATCCCACTCCCAGCCCCACCATGTCCCTGCCAGCCATACCTGCCGCCTCAAAGGCCCCTGGGAGTTCGCTACTGCAAATGGTCCCTGATCGGTCAGTGTCAAACTGTTTGTATATGGCCTGTGGGGACAGAGAGATCGGGTCCAAATGAGCATTGTGGAGCATGGTATCTCCGTGGCTTGGGGGTCTGGGTGCCAGGGATTTCAGAGGTTGCTACACACCTGCCACCTTTTGATGTTGTTCCACAAGTACTTGAATTCCTCAAAGCCCAGCTTGCCTGTAGTGTCGCTCTGGTGGGAGGGTGTTAAGAAGAGTGACAGCTACACCCAGATGCACGCATCACATGCACTGTGGACACGATGGTGATACAGCAAGCAGGGGAGCCAGAGCTGAAACTCCAGCTCCCGCTTGGTCCTAGTCATATCACCTGGTGTGCAGTTTTATTTTTCATTTTATCCATACATATCGTCACTTATATTTCTAAGTAAGGATTCTCTTTAAACATAACTAGGCCGGGCGCGGTGGCTCATGCCTGTAATCCCAGCACTTTGGGAAGCCAAGGTGGGTGGATCACGAGGTCAGGAGATCGAGACCATCCTGGCTAACACAGGATGGTCTCTACTAAAATACAAAAAATTTAGTCTCTACTAAAAATACAAAAAATTAGCCGGGCGAGGTGGCGGGCGCCTGTAGTCCCAGCTACTCGGGAGGCTGAGGCAGGAGAATGGCATGAGCTCAGGAGGCAGAGCTTGCAGTGAGCTGAGATCACGCCACTGCACTCCAACCTGGGTGACAGAAGGAACATAACCATGAGGAATTATATTCAACTACTCTAAAGTACACATTCCTTGCCTGAAGAGTTGTTAATTGCTCATTCAGAAAATTCTTGATAGGCCAGGCACGGTGGCTCCCGCCTGTAATCCCAGCACTTTGGGAGGCCAAGCAGGTGGTTCACTTGAGGTCAGGAGTTCAAGACCAGCCTGGCCAACATGATGAAATCCTGTCTCTACTAAAAATACAAAAATTGGCCAGGCGTAGTGGCACACACCTGTAATCCCAGCTATTTGGGAGGCTGAGGCAGGAGAATTGCCCAAACGTAGGAGATGGAGCTTGCAGTGAGCTGAGATGGTACCACTGCACTTCAGCCTGGGAAACAGAGCAAGACTCTGTCTCAAAAAAAAAAAAAAAAAAAAAAAAAAAAAAAAAAAAAAAAAAAAAAAAAAAAAGAAAAGAAAATTATGGACAGTAACTCAATTTCACAAATGTTAGGACATGTGAAAAACAAGTGTGTGGCCAGGCATGGTGGCTCATGCCTGTAATCCCAACACTTTGGGAAGCCAAGGCAGGTGGATCGTTGAGCTCAGGAACATCACTTTCTCACTAAATCTTCGGGACACCAGTTCTACCAGGACTATTTCCAGAGAAAGAAACATATTCAAAGCTGAAAACTCTACCCAATATCATAGTTAAGAGCTAATGTGTACAGACCACATACTATGCGTTATGCACAATGCTAAACCTTTTGCATGTAGCTCCAATTCAGTATCACCATTATCACTCACCCATTTTACAGACAGAGAAACTGAGGCACAGAGAGGTTCAATAACCTGGTTAAGAGGTACAGTTGGGATTGCTTCGCTCTATGCAATATGTCTGTGATTACATGACATGTATATATATGTGTCTGTACTGCCCTATGTGTTAAATGTGCATAAGGGCAGGCGCAGTGTCTCAAGCCTGTAATTCCAACACTTTGGGAGGCCAAGGCGGGAAGATTGCTTGAGGTCAGGAGTTTGAGACTTGCCAGGTCAATATAGTGAAAGTTTGTCTCCTTATAAACTATTTTTTAAAACAAAAATAAAAATATGCATGCATCAAAGGTCAGCTGATGGCTGGCCCATATACAGATATATGTGTGTTCCTGAGCACACTGCCTCATACACTTTCACGCATGTGGGTGTGCTCTTAGGTGTGTGTGTGTGTACATGTGCATGTGGCTGTTATAAATTTAGGTTCCCAAGCCCAAAAGACCTGAGTCCACAGACTGGAGTAACGAAACCTCTGCTCACTGCAACCTCCACCTCCCGGGTTTAAGCTATTCTCCTGCCTCAGCCTCCCAAGTAGCTGAGACTATAGCTGCACACCACCACGCCCGGCTAATTTTTGTATTTTTTAATAGAGATGGGGTTTCACCATGTTGGCCAGGCTGGTCTCGAACTCCTGACCTCAGGTGATCTGCCCACCTCGGCCTCCCAAAGTGTTGGGATTACAGGCATGAGCCACCACGCCTGACCTTTATCTATAACTTGAGACAAATGACTGCTTCTTTCAGGAAACTGAGCCTCAGTTTCCTCATCTGTAAAATGGAGTATAATAATTGTGCCTGTCCAACAGGGTGGTTGTGAAGGTTCGGTCACGTTATATAATTAAAGTGCCAGCTGCAACAGCTGGCATTGTTATGATTTACTGCCACATGTCTATAGGTGAGTGTGCTCTGATGAATGCATTTCCACATCTGTGGATATAAAGGCTACACATTGGCTTTCCAAACATACTCTCAAAAAACTCCCTGTGCACCCAGGGCCTCTCCCACACTACTCCCAAGGATACATCCATGACGGCCACCATGCTGCGACACGTGTCAATGCCAAAACCATCAGTCTTCAGATCAGGGTCTGTGGGCAACAGGTTGAAAGTCAGAGGCCAGAGGTCAAAGCCACTCAGGCCCCTCTGCCTCTAAACCTACGCTATTCCTTGAGCCCGGTCACTTACGTCGTGTCACAACCTTATTGAGAATGTTCATGAGCTCTGTGGCGCTGACCTCCATGTCCTGCAGGCGGAAGTTAGGGGCAGGTCAGGCGTGACTGAAGGGTCTGAGAATGTCATGGAGAATGGGAACACTGGGATAGTCACGGTCAAGGGTGTGTGCACAAGGGCAGCCACAAGGGAAGGGATGGAAGGGTTAGGACGGGGTCAGGGAACCCCAGGTTACTTACATCTCCAGCCAGCTGGGCAAAGAGTCTCCGGAACTGCCGGACCTCCTCACTCTCGTTGGCCTCAATGTTGGAGTAATGTGTGCGTGGGGGCTGCAGAGGGAGGAGAGCTCAGAGCAGGGGGAGGGGAACCCGGCCAGGACGGCTCCCCACACCAAGGCACCCTGGGTGGGAAAGTCAGAGTGGGCTGGGCAGCTTGATGAGAAAAAGAATGAGAGGTGGTAGTGAATGGGTGCGCGTATGTGGGGCATGGCTAAGACCCATGGTGTAGCTGCGGACAAGGCACGGGAGGAACTGGCAGAGGAATTTCACAAGAAGGGGAGGAAGGTGGGACTTCTCTACAGGAACAGGAATGGGACCTCGAAGAGGCCTTGGCAGGAGAAGGGGGTCTGGTTGCAGAGTGGGCTTACCGGGGGCTCCGGGTTGTATTGCGCAGCCGCCTCGCTGTGAAGAGATAAGGGGGAGGAGTTAGTGTCGGGGGCGGGGCCTCCAACGGGCAGCACTACAGAACCATCAGCCCCAACGCTCCAGACGTCAGCCGCTATCTTCCTTACTTAGTTGCTGTGCCCTTCATCTGTTCTTGTCCTCATCTGTCCCAGTCCACACGGCCCTGGTCGTGCCCCTCTTCTCCCTTCCTCAGGCCAACCCCACCCTTCAGGAAACCCAGAGATCCGTCCCCTGGGAGGCTCCACTCCTGCCAGGCACACCTACCCAGTGGCAGATTCCAGTCATCTCGGCCACCCTCAACCTAAAAATCCCACACAGAATCAAAAACCCCCGCCCCTTGGAGGGCTCACTTCATAGAGGCTCTGCCCCAGCTTCCCAAGGTCTTATCCTCCTTAGGTGCCATCTGCCCAAGACTCTACTCCATGGCCCCCTTCTTAAACACCTGTCTTCCCAACATCCTACCCCAGCCATTGGTCCCCGTCCCTTCAAGGGATCACTGCTCAGTGGCCATGACTAATTAGGCCAACCTGCCCTACCCCTACCAGGGCATTTTTCTCCATTAATCCAGCCAGTTCCCAGCAAGCCCAGCCCATTCTGGGCCATTTCCTCTATCCCATTAGGTCTTGCTTTCTCCTAGGCTCACCTCCTCATTAACCCACCTAAAACCTCTGACCACACTCATAAGTCAAGCCTCGACCGTAAAATGTCACTCAGACGCATTGGCTCCGCCCCTTTAACGTTCATCTCCAGGTTAGCCAATGCAGGCCGGGCCCAGACTCATAAGCCCCACCCTCCAAAACTCCACATCGGTCCTCTCAGGACCACATTGTCCTGGTCCCACACAATCAGACTACTCCCATATCAAGCCCCGCTCCCAAGGACTGATATCCGCCTCATTGGGGTCCACCCCCTTATAACAGGACTCTCAAACTAGGCCACCCCGGCCTAATTCAGGTACCCAGGTTAGCCTCCAGGTTAATCCTATTATTGTTAGACCACGCCCCTCCCGGACCACGCCCCCCTGAGGCACCTCCCATTCACATTTCCAGGCCCCGCCCCTCCAATAGTCGCCGCCTTACCTGATGGCGCTGATGACTCCGCCTAGGATGCGCATGGCAGTTCCACCGCCACCGCCGCCTCCGCCGCCGCCTCCACCACCGCCGCCGCCGCCCCCGGCCCCGCTGATCAGGCCTCCAAGCACATTCCCCAGGCCCCCACCCAGGCCCCCGCCTCCCCCGCCGCCGCCGCCGCCGCCCTTCAAGAACGAGTTAACCAGGAACATGGCTGCGACTCACTGCTGGGGGGAAAAAAGGGGACCAGTGGGTGCTTCGCCCCTGAGCCCACACCCTCCCCTCAAACACGCATTTCCGGCAGCTGGACATGGGAGGAGGGATCTGAGGCCTCCGGATGGGGGTCTGAGTTTGCGAGGGCGGGTTGTCCTGGCAAGGTTTGCAACCTCCTCGGGTCTAAAAGGCACCCGTGGGCTTGAGGGAGCCTGGACTGGGTGCACGCGTTAACTGGAGGGTGTAGGTCTGGTGGGGGTTCTCTTGGTGGGGACCCCAAGTTGGCGTAAGGCGTGCCCGACGTGTCTGGGCGCCAGAATGTGAGATCCAGAGCCCAGACTGAATGTAAAGGTCCTTGGCGGGTCATGGGCGCGGAGCAAACATCCACCGCCTAAAGGGCCCCAGGGCGGGGTTTAGGAAATTCTAAATGTGGGCTTGAGAATTCAGGTATTCCCAGCGGCAGGATTCCAGTGTCACCTCTGGCTTTGTGGGCTCGGGTCTAAGATCGTGGCTGTGAGCCCTGGGTTCCCGGATAATGGGGTCCCTCGCTGGAACTGGGGGCACAGATCTACGATCGTGGTTCAAGACACCCCAAGGAAGAATTCACAGGGTATCTCTGAAACCTATGGGCCTGTATTTTGGATCATGAGACAGAGGGTGGAGAAGTACGGGACGTCCCCGGGACGGCATGAAAGGGGGTCGAACAGGTCTGAGGGTTCGAATCTGAGACCATGGATCTGGGGGGCTCCTGAGGCCGAGACTTCACGGTTCCCCAGGTCTGGGGGCCGCCAAAGCCAAAATTGCGGGGTGCGGAGGGGGTACGGGCTGGGCGCTTACCACCTCACGCGTCCGGAGGTCTGGGAGTCCGTTCCGCTGCCGCTCCCGGGCCTCCCGCAGCGTCCGGCTCCGGAGGGCGGGGCCGGTGACTCAGGCCGCAACTCTCGGGTCTGACACTGCACCGCGGCCCGGCTGTCTCCCGCGCGGTCCTAGAGCCGAAGCGGACATTGCGGATGCGCACCCCACACCGCCCTGCTAGCGGGACCCGGATTTGGGCCCCGCCCTACACGTTTCCAGCGCCGGAGGTCTTGGAACATTGCGCATGCGCACCCCACACCGCCCTGACTCGGTAGGCGGGGGTCTTCCCGACACCCTTCAGGTCTGGGTGCAGGCGCCGGGTGATGAGAACTCGGAGGAGACCCACACCCCCCCAGTGTCGTAGTGTGACAGCCCCTAGGGCCTGCCAATATCCTTCCAGGGTGGCAGTTTTCGGTCCGCTCACTAAGGGACTCCGCACGGGCCCTTTCCAGGTGTTGTCGAGACAAACACCTCCTGGAGGCCTGTAGTATGCTTTGGCTCACACGCAGGAGGACAATCGCCCGTGTCTGTGGCGAGGACTGAGGCTGGAGTGCCTTTCCCAGTGCCTGCAGCTTCCCGGATGGCAGTCAAACCGCAGGCAGCGCAGGCGCCGCCTCACAGGCGAACCTTACCACGTCCCGCCCCAGTCAGGGGCCACCTGAATCATTCCTTCCTGGACAGGCCCAAAGGGTGTCCTCAGTATGCTAGTGTCTAAAGAAGGCCCCAGACACAGGAAGATTCGTTTGGCGGCGGCCGGGTTTCTTTATTTACTTAAAAAATATTGTTGTTTTTTGGCCGGGCGCGGTGGCTCAAGCCTGTAATCCCAGCACTTTGGGAGGCCGAGATGGGCGGATCACGAGGTCAGGAGATCGAGACCATCCTGGCTAACACGGTGAAACCCCGTCTCTACTAAAAAATACAAAAAACTAGCCGGGCGAGGTGGCAGGTGCCTGTGATCCCAGCTACTCGGGAGGCTGAGGCAGGAGAATCACGTGAAGCCAGGAGGCAGAGCTTGCAGTGAGCTGAGATCCGGGCACTGCACTCCAGCCTGGGCGACAGAGCGAGACTCCGTCTCAAAAAAAAAAAAAAAAAAAAATTAAATGATATCTGCAGGAATACTGATTATTAAAAAAAAACTTTAAGCAGTGGCTGGGTGTGATAGTTCATGCCTGTATTCCCTGCACTTTGGGAGGCTGAGGCAGAAGGATCTCTTGAGCTCAGGAGTTCGACTCTAGCCTGGGCAATATAGTGAGAACTTGTCTCTACAAATAATAATAATATAGAAATTAGCTGAGTGTGGTGGCATGCGCCTAGTCCCAGCTACTCTGGAGACAGGTGGGAGGATCACCAGAGCCCAGGAGGCAGAGGTTACAGTGAGCCGAGATCATGCCACTGCACTACAATCTGGGTGACAGAGCGAGACGCTGTCTCAAATAAATAAATAGCTGGGCACATTGGCTCACGCCTGAAATCCCAGAATTTTGGGATGCCAAGTTGGGCAGATCACCTGATTGGTCAGGAGTTCAAGACCAATCTGACTAACATGGAGAAACCTGTCTCTACTAAAAAATACAAAATTAGCCGGACATGGTGGCACATGCCCGTAATCCCAGTTACTCAGGAGGCTGAGGCAGGAGAATCGCTTGAACCCAGTAGGCAGAGGTTTCAGTGAACCAAGATTGCACCATTGCACTCCAGTCTGGGCAACAAGAGTGAAACTCCATCTCAAATAAATAAATAAATAAATAAATAAATAAATAAATAAATAGGTGATAAATGCTTTGTAAGTGCCAGCTATTAGCTCTATGTCTGTGCCCATGTGCTCCCTCATCCTGGAGGCCACCTGTATTCCTCAGCTGGTGGACTCTTAGTCATCCTTAAATAATACAAAAACAGGCCGGGTGTGGTGGCTCACGCCTGTAATCCTAGCACTTTGGGAGGCCGAGGCGGGCAGATCACCTGAGGTCAGGAGTTTGAGATCACCCTGGCTAACATGGTGAAATCCCGTTTCTACTAAAAATATAAAAAATTAGCTGGGCGTGGTGGCGTGTGCCTGTTATCCCAGCTACTGGGGAGGCTGAGGCAGGAGAACCGCTTGAATCCAGGAGGCAGAGGTTGTAGTGAGTTGAGATCGCGCCATTGCACTCTAGCTTGGGCAACAAGAGCAAAACTGTCTCAAAAAAATAAAAAAAACAGATAACTGTCAAGCACTCCTCCAAGTGCTTGACGTCCATCAGCTCCCTCATTCTCCTAACAGCCCTGTGACATAGATGCTATTTATTATCCCCATTTTACAGAGAAGTAAACCCACTCTGAGGTTAAACCCAGGCAGCCACGCTCCCTAGCCTGTATCCTTAACCACTACCCTTATGCGTTAATAATATAATTAATATAATAGCTCAAATAACAAGATCACAACAGACAAAACTAGTTGCAGCTGATGTTTCCTGAGGCCTTGCTGGGGCCAGGCCAAGGTAACTGCAACACAAGCCTTGTCTGCAAGGCAGGAGAGAGAACGGAGATTCTGAAAGGCAGGGTCACGGAGGGTGGCAGAACCAGATCTGATCCCGGGCTTGGGTGATGACAAATCTTTTGGTGGTGACTAATCCAGATTCCCTTCTCACCACACCCCTCCCTGCCACACTGCTGCAGCTCTCTGCCCTCTCCTGAGGCTCACTTGCTGCCAGCCCTCATGCCCCTGGCCAGGAACTCTCCTGCCACCTTTTTTTTTTTCTGGCCTGGTTGTGTAGCTACTCAGGCTGCAGGTGTCACCTCAGGAGTCATCTCTTCCAGAAAGCCCTCCCTGTCTCCACCCAGCCTGAGACTAGGTGGAGCTTCCAGTTATATGCTTTCAAAAGGACCTGTACTTTCTCATGGCACTCACTGCCAGTCGTAACCATATTGTCATCTAGTTCTGGCCCCCAACCCCTTATTCCTGGCCAGCCCCAGGTGTTAGGTCTCCATCCTCCTCTCTGTACCACTCATGCCATGGGGTGCCTCCCCTCTATGCACAGCTTAAATCCCATCTCTAGGCTATCAACACCCAGTTTTTTGTTTTGTTTTGTTTTGTTTTTGAGACGGAATCTTGCTCTGTCACCCAGGCTGGAATGCAGTGGTGCGATCTCGGCTCACTGCAAGCTCTGCCTCCTGGGTTCACACCATTCTCCTGCCTCAGCCTCCTGAGTAGTTGGGACTACAGGCATCCGCCACCATGCTGGCTAATTTTTTGTATTTTTAGTAGAGACGGGGTTTCACCATGTTGGCCAGGATGGTCTCGATCGCTTGACCTCGTGATCCACCCGCTTCGGCCTCCCAGAGTGCTGGGATTATAGACATGAGCCAATGCGTCCTGCCCTTAGAGGCATTTTAAGCTTTACATATCCTAAACTGAGCTTCTGACCTTCCTCCAGAACCTGCTCCCTCACCACCTTCCCCACCTAGATTAGTGGCAGCTCTGTCCTTCCAGTGACTTGAGGCCAAACACTCCGGGGTGGTCCTTCACCTCTCTCCTTCATACCCACTCCAGCCTGTCAGCAGATATTATTGGCTCCACCCACAGAAACTACACTCTTCCCCTCCACGGTCCCCACCCTGGCGCAGCCTCCACCTGGACACCCCACAGCCTTCTCCCTGGTCTCCCAGCTCCCTTCTGTCTGCTCCCCGCTGTCTGCTCCTCTTGTGGAGCCAGAGGAAGCCTGAGATCACCTGAGTCAGGTCAGGGCCCTGCTGCTCAGAGCCCTGCCCTGGCTCCCCCCCACTCCAGGAAACAGTCAAAAGTTCTCAAAACAGGGCCAGGTGTGGTGGCTCATGCCTGGAATCCCAGCACTTTGGGAGACTGAGGCAGGAGGATCGCTTGAACCCAGGAGTTTGAGACCAGCCTGGGCAACATGGCAAGACCCCATCTCTACAAAAAATACCAAAAACTAGCCAGGTGTGGTGGCATGTGCCTGTAGTCCCAGCTACTCAGGAGTCTGAGGCGGGAGGATCACTTGAGCCCAGGCCCAGGAGGTAGAGGCTGCAGTGAGCCTTGATTGCACCACTGCACGACTGCACTCCATCCAGCCTGGGCAGCAGAGCGAGACTCTGTCTCAAAGAAAAAAAAAAAAAAGCGTTCTTATGACAGCCACCAAGTCCCTAGTGATCTGTCCCATCACCTCCCTGCCCTCATCTCTTCCCCCTGGAGAAAGTGAGAAGATGCCTGCCTGGCAGGGTCACCTGCATGTTCCCAGCTGAACACAGACAAAACTCAGCATGGAGGCCCTGCAAGCACAGCAACACCCAAACATTCTTTTTTTTTTTTTTTTTTTTTTTTGAGACGGAGTCTGGCTCTGTCACCCAGGCTGGAGTGCAGTGGCTGGATCCCAGCTCACTGCAAGCTCCGCCTCCCGGGTTTGCGCCATTCTCCTGCCTCAGCCTCCCGAGTAGCTGGGACTACAGGGGCCCACCACCTCGCCCGGCTAGTTTTTTGTATTTTTTAGTAGAGACGGGGTTTCACTGTGTTAGTCAGGATGGTCTCGATCTCCTGACCTCGTGATCCTCCCGTCTCGGCCTCCCAAAGTGCTGGGATTACAGGCTTGAGCCACCGCGCCCGGCCTACACCCAAACATTCTATCTCAGGGCAGACATAAAGACATGAGGCCGCCACTCCATTACTAAGACCTTCTCCAGCCCCAGGTCTGGGGAGCAGATCTTTCAAGTCTACACATCTAGTGATCTCTGGAAGGTCCTGTCTTTTATCACCCGCTCACACACTGTTTACTTTATTTTTTATTTTATTATTATTATTATTGAGATGGAGTTTCAGTTTTGTTGCCCAGGCTGGAGTGCAATGGCATGGTCTTAGCTCACTGCAACCTCCACCTCCTGGGTTCAAGCGATTCTCCTGCCTCAGCCTCCCAAGTAGCTGGGATTACAGGAGTCCGCCACCACACCTGGCTAATTTGTTTGTATTTTTAGTAGAGACAAGGTTTCACCATGTTGGCCAGGCTGGTCTCGAACTCCTGACCTCAGGTGATCCACCCACCTCAGCCTCCCAAAGGAAATCAAGGTGGCGCGATCTCAGCTCATCTGCAAGCTCCCGCTCCCGGTTCCCGCATTCTCTGACTCAGGCCTCCCGAGTAGCTGGGACTACAGGCGCCCACAACCGCGCCCGGCTAGTTTTTTGTATTTTTAGTAGAGACGGGGTTTCACCATGGTCTCGATCTCCTGA